TTTCAGCTTAAACCTTTACTGATCATATATTTTATATAAGAAAGGTAGTGTAACAGGTACCTATAATTACCAAATCAAAATGTGTTATTTAAGGTAAAGAACATATATGTAATGATTTTTAAAATACTTGTATTTAACTAATAAAAATGAAAATCAGTGATATGAACTTATTTGTATAATATAATATTGTATTATATAATATTATATTATATTTACTGTCCTTTGCCTTTGTTATTACTGTTCACCCATTTTTTAGTTGTGTATGACTCTTTGAGACCCCACTTGAAGGTTTCTCACAGAAAAATGATTGGTTTGCCATTTCCTTTTCCAGTTCATTTTACAAATGAGGAAATTGAGGCAAACAATGTTAAGTGACTTGGCCAGGGTCACACAGCTAGTAAATATTTGAGGCCAGATTTGAACTCAGGAAGATGAGTCCTTCTCATTCCAGGCTTGGCTCTCTATCCACTTCACCATCTAGTTGCCCTCCTTTGCCTTTAGGTGATACTAACAAAAAAAGCTATGAACAGAACAGATTCAAGGCAAAGAATCATGGGATGTCATAACTGGGTAATGTGAGAGATGATCTCTCAGAAGTGAAGCCTCCTCAAAGGGTCATTAGTTCTTGTTAATGGTTCTGGTATTGTTGCTTTTGAGCGGCACACGTGTACCAACACTTAAGTGAAGACCCCTCAGAATGCAAGACCCCTCCCCTAGCCTTCTCCCTCTCCTACTCTTGGATAATGTTAGCAGAAATTCCTGAGACATGGGAGCATCCTGTCTATCTTGTCCTCTAGCTGGTTGTGTGACCTTAGGTAAAAGACTGCTGAAACTGTGAGGCCCTGAAAATGGGAACATGCTAACATAATTTCTATACCTCTTTGTTCTCTCTGTTGCTGGGGTAGTTTTTACACGAATAGATTGTACACCTGAGGCTCAGTCAACGAGCCGATGGGAAAGGAGTTAGGGTGGGCTGCTACGTTGGGGTCTATGTAGTCTTGCCTTGAACAAAGAGCACTCGGAACTCTCGGGGCAACTGAGGCAGCATGGGGGTGCACTTTCTCGAGAAAGTCAATGAAGAGATCTCTCCTTTCGCAAACTTGTTGTCAAGACTCTGGCTTTTTAAACTGAGTGAAACAATGTAAACAATATGAGATCTCTCAGATGGACTGAGTGTAGCAATTTCTTAGACTGTTATAAACTCAAGGTTGCTTACACTAGCCTCAATAGGCCTAAGTTTCAGGTTCCCAGAAAACACATGATTTGTACTGTTACATCAGCATTAGGTAATGGCTAATTACTAAAAAGGATAAGATAGCTAGGATTGGTAGTATTATAATGAGATTCCTTGTTTCTGGGGTAGATTTTCGCGTTTTAGATTGTAAGGCTGAAATTCCTGTCCAATGGGAATTCAAAGCCAGTGGTGGATGGGTATCTCTGTGTTAGGGCTACATAACCTTCATCCTGGCCTTTGTGCCTTGCCTCGCTTTGCTCAGACTGCCGGCCAAAGCAGATGCCCACTTCTCGCGAGAACATAATAAATCTTTCACTTTATACCTAGAAAATCTCTGAGTGTTATTTTTGGGTAACTGTAGCACACAGTAAGGATAGGGGTTGGCCTAGACAATTCCCTCAGTCAACTAAAAGTAAGTGACAGGATACTATGCCTGGATCCATAACTAGGTAAGAAAATATCTTGATAATTCACTATGTGTAAATGAGGTTTGGATATTTCCTAAGGTACAAATCATTCTGACTGCTTGAGGGATTTGATCATGCTCCTTAGAAGGAATTGCCTGTCTCCTCCTGCCTGCTTGTGACTTGAGGAGGATGTTGTGGACTGTGGAAAGGTAGAGGTTTTGGACTTTTCAGCTAATGCTAGCACATCCCCAGGATGTGTCAGCAAGAGCTGACAGCAGGTGTATGCCTTGGGAGCCAAAGACAAGAAGACGGAAGGCAAATTCCAGGCTCTATATAAAGTCCAGCAGAAAAGCTATACCAAAGTTAAGGGGCATATCTTGAGGACTCTAGCAAATGGGCTTCCAGGATCTGTGGGTTACCCCTTTGCCACATATGTGCTCTAAGCTTGAGCCCACCTTTCCCTAGACCAGCGATGAGGAACCTGTGGCCTTCTAGGTCGTTGGGTGTGGCCTTTTGACTGAATCTAAGTTTTACAGAACAAATCCTTTTATTAAGGGGATTTGTTCTGTGAAGTTTGTATTCAGAGGGCCACACTAGAGGGCCATACATGGCTTCAAGGCCAAAGGTTCCTCACCCCTGCCCTAGACTCTATATGTAACGGTGGTTTGAAAGTGTGCCAAAGATTTCATGGGGGGATGTTTTGTAAACACTGTACCAAATATACCACTTTAGTAAATACCTGGCTAATTAAGTCTGGCTGACTATTCAATATCAATGGCATCACAGAGGTAAAGAAATATACTGCTCAGGGCTGATGAACTTACAGAATTAGAAAGACAACCCTTATGCTCTCTCTCTTGCCAGTTCTAATGGGGGGTTAAGACAGTGGCTCCAAAGTATGTGTTATGTAACTCTAAAGGATCTTAGTGCTCGTGATAATTTAAATCATTTCACATATTGGGAAACAAACCCCAAAATGTGATTTGGTACAGTGAGCTAGTGACAGGGCTGTGACTAGAATTTAAGTCTCCTGACTCCTGATTCAACGTTGTTTCAAGAAGTTTAAATACAGCACTCATATAAGTACTGGCTTACAGATTTTTCAAGTAGTACTAAAGTTCAAAGTTTGCTAGGGGGAAGGGATGGGGGGAAGAAAGAGGTGCACTCTGGGAAAGAAGTGAGGTAGGTAATCCACAAAGCGATAAAATCCTAGATAGCACCTTAGTGGTATCAATTTTACTAAAAAAAACAATCACTCAAAAGCACAACTGATTGTGAAATCTACTTGAATTTATATGAATGCACCCTAAGCAAATACATTCGAGTGGTCATAATTTCAATAGGTGACATTAATTAAAAGCATCATATTTTCAGTTAAAAGTTTTACCTAGAACTTAGAGCACTGCACTCCAGTATTCTATTACTCAACAATATCCACTACTGATAAAACCCTGCATATAAACTAAATTTTCCCTCAATCCTCCCCAAATTCATCATTGTATTCCTGCATATTATTCAAATCTGAACAAAGAATTCTTGAAACTGAAGTCCTTCAGCCCACGGGCAGAATTTATAATTTTCTTCATTATTATGACAGCTGTTCGCTGCCTTTAGTGTCCTTGTCACCAAAAACCACCATACAGCTGGATCATTGGCTAGCCTTGAATAACTGAAAGCTAAACTCAGCGCAATAAGATAGTCATCTTCACCTCCTCCAGCTGGATGCCAAAACTAAGAAAAGCACAATAAGGACTTTCAACAGTCTAGTTGTCAGATCTGGTGACTTCATAGTTATATTTATACATGTGTGTCCTTGATACAAATCAACCTCATAATTTTTTAATGGTGCTTGGGGAAAAGATCTCAGAAGTATGGGCGGTTTCTAAGGAAAAAAAGAGAACACCTTAGATCTTAAAAGTTAAATCAAATGACATTTTAAACCTAAACTACAACACATGCTTTGTCACTGTATACAAATCATCCAGAAGTCCAAGCTCCTGTTGCATTAATTCTTCCCTCAGCCTTGAGATTTACAGGCCATCAGGGCAGAGTGACTCGAAACATCCCAATCTCCTGGACATTCATCCCCAGGTAAGGAGCAAAGGACAGTTTGGTGAATGGAGGATGTGAAGACCATTTGCTGGATGGAAGCCTTTATCTTAAGGAAGGCAACTGAGTAAGACACAATTTGGGGTCAGAACCCACTTATGACGATGTCAAGCAAGATCATGGTCAAAGACCAATTCTAGAGCTCTCAAAAATGACGATGCAAGCAAAGAAAGTCTCCCTCGTTCCGTAGTAATAGGGATATTACCATGACGACGGTACTCGGGAATGCCAAAGGGAGGCAGACCGCCGTAGACAACGTAATCGTCACCCTGATACGGACGCCCATCAGCGGGGTCAAGGCCAGGGCCCAACGATACAGAGATCCGCCCCCTCCCCCAAAACAAAAACAAAAACAAACGGACAAACTAAAAGACTAGTGATGGCTCTCCATCACTGCCACAACTCCCTCGCCTTCTCTCTTCTCCCTCCTATGATGAGAAACTCGGCGTAACGGAGTCGTTTCCCCTTCCAACAGGAAGAAGGGGACGGTCGTGGAGGAGACCTTTCCTCCGTTGGCCCCAACTCCCGAGTACCCCACCTCCTTGCTCCCAGGGCAATGCCACACACAAGATGGCAGCCACACACCTACCGGAGGCTTCCGCGGCGCCACGGCTGCAAGGCTACCGGCTACCCGACTGTGGTTGATTCCATTGGCTTAATCCCTGAGCGCGAGACAATCTGAGACTAGGCCCAGCCAATCAGGCGCCGGGGAGCGAGCATACACAAGGGAGCCGGCTCGTCGAATCACAGTAGCCTTCCGCTAGCTTCGAAAGCCCAAACGTAACCTGTCGAGGGGTGTGGCAAAGGGAAGAGCAGCCAATGGCCGCTTCACTCGGCTGCGCGGGTAAGGAGACCCAGACTCCACCTACTTCGGCTTTAGCCTTAGGGATGCCCGGGGATGCTTGGAAGCGCGTGTTCCCTTCCCGGTGAGGCGGGAATCTAGCGATTGTAGGTATCCGGCGGGTATTTAAAAAAAAAAAAGGCCTAGGAAGCCTCCCGGCGGAGATGGTGCCGGAGGGTGGTGGGGGCTACGGCCGGCGCCCCGCGGATGGGCAGGGAGCCAGGCCGCAGGTCGGAAGGAGGGGGCCAGCTTAGACACCTTGATCGACCCGGCGGCGGAAAGACTTCCCCGTTCCGGAATTGCGGAGTCGTCCTTCCTCCCGCGCTGCCCGCCCACGGGGTCACGCCGCTTGCGGCTGTTACTGGGGAAGCCGGGGAAAGGTCGGCCCGGGGAAAAAGCCACATCCGGCCGGCCGACTGGCTGGGATGTGGGCCAAGCCGGAGGTCTCCAGTAGGAGTGTGCAGCGGGAGCGCCCAGTACCTGCGCCGGCCGGTCCAGGGGCGAGAGGGTGCCACCGAGCCCATTCTCCTCTCCCACCCCGCGGTGTGGATTGAGCCCTCGTGTGGCAGGAGGCCGCCCCTCGTTCCGCTGAAGTCCTACGCCCAGCTTCGGGCCCCAGCGGCGTAGACACGAAGCCGTGGGCTCTTGGAGAATGATCCCCCTGGGACGAGGTGAACACCTGCCTTCAAGCCCAGGCTTGCTTTATCAAACCTAAGTGTCTTTACACCAGACTTATAAAGGGGTCGTTTGCAGCCCTTAACTCAGCAGCCGAACCCTGAAGCTCATCTTCACTTCCCCAAGGGAAAAGTTACGGAGCAAAAAAGAATACATCTTCCTTTTAACTTGTCAAAAGGAAGCAGCCTTCTAAGGAGTAGGAGCCCCTAGGAAAGGGGTAACTAAATCTACATGCCCCAATAGTGGTAAAAGGAATGACAGTTGTAAAAAGGCTTGACCAGTTCTGGGCTGGTGTCTGGACCAGGCCCATCAATTGATGACCTTCGAGGTGTTCTTCAATTCCAGTCCTTTTGGTTTAACATCATCGATAAAAGAAATAATAGCTCCGTCTTACCTATGGAAAGGATGCCCCACTAGTAAAACCTAGTAACGTTGCTTTTTCTTATAGGTATATTTCTGCCATTAAGTATAGCAATGGAGGCCTGATCAGAAGACTGCCAGATTTTATTTCTTGAAAGGAAGATGACAGTTGTGCTCCGTTATTTAACGGCTTTGGTGTTGAAAAAAAAAGTTTGATCTTGGGAAAGTTGTTGGCTACAAGCTGGAAGCCCATCAGAAATTTAAATAAAATTGTTTTGGCCCTTAATTATAATTTATAAATGAACTGCATTTTTCTAGTTGACCTGGAACTGCAGGTTGAATAATAATATTCATTTTCATAATGCCTTGTGGTGTCCTTTGGACAACACCTGTAATGTAGTTGTTGCAAGTATCCTTATACTCATCTTACAGATGCTACTGAAACTTTGAGAAGTCTAATAGTTTGCCTGTAGTAACATAGCTAGTTAATATCTAGATAGAATTTTAATTCAGTTCTCCTGATTCCAAGTTGGATGCACTAGCCACTATAGTAACCTGCCAATTCTTAGATGTCAGAATTTAAGTATGTTATACATTTTGGGGGAAAAAATTCCCTTTAGTATTCTTGAAGTTGAATAGCTACCTTTGAAAATTAAATATGATGGCAAAAAATAAATATTTAAAGATAAGGAAAAATTAATTTAGAAAGCTATATGTTAAAACTGACACTGTTGATTTCTTTTAAAAAAAGGGAAAAGTAGCCATGCAGTTGAGGGCACTATGAGTATTCCTCCTTTGGAACTGGACTGGACCATATCTAAATTTCCCTAGAACATCTAATATCTTGTAGATTTCAATGAATAAAGTTTGGTTTATGTATAAGTTTTATCTTAAACATTCTGTGATCAAATATCTGTTATTTACATATTTAAATGTGTTCTCCATTTGAAAAAAGGAAATGAAACCAACTAAAGATTCTAGTGGAACAAACCTATTTAATTACTCTCTCTTAAAGTCATTTGGAAAAAATTTTTTGTTTAAAATTATAGTTCAGTCATTTCAGGTATGAGTAACCCAGGTGGAAACTTATTGTAGGAATTCCAACTTAATACTGTGGTTCTGTCACTTTTATGATGATAACACTCTTTAAACATAATTTATCAACTCATTTTTCAAATGTGTACTCTTTTTCCTTGTTTTCCGTATACAGTGTTTTACTGATTCATGGATGCAAAGAATGAAAATGTTTTCATCGTGAAGAAAGTTCCTATTTAATTTGCCTACATTCTGATCAAGACTTGGAAGTGTAACTTGAAGAACTCAACATGGAATTTGAATATTAGTCACCTCTGATAGTTCCTTTTATCATGACTTCCAGTCTGAAAGTTAACCAGACTAAGTTTATCAAAAGGCATTGGATCCAAAGTAGGATAAATGAGAGAGAAACGTTGTTTAATGATTGCCAGTGCTTTGGAGGAGGGAATAGAGGAGTCAAAGTTGGATGCTAGTTATGTTTTCCAGTTATAGTCAGTGTTTCCTCTGATATTCCTGTAAATCTCATCCTGAAGATCTCTGCATACTTCAGCATCTGTTGCAAAAGATGGAGGAAAAAAATGGTAAGTTGAATAAAATGATTAACTTATCAGAAAGAAAACTTTTAGAATGTATTGGAAGCATGTATGATTTCAGCTTGAGGAACTTGTACCACCAATGCTTTTAATAGCTTGGTACCTCTGGTCAGAATCCAATACAGTATGATACAGTACTATACAATAGACGTTAAGTGCCAACAGTGTACCAGGCATGCATGCAGTCTTTCTTGCTGAAAATGACCATTCTAAATTAGATGGCTTTTAAATGTTCTTAACAGAGGCTTTTTTAACACTTTTAAGTAATCAGAATCAGGAAGACCTGAATTCAACTTCAGCCTCAGATACTTCCAACTGTGTGACCCTGGGCAAATCCCTTAACCTCTGTTTCCCTTAGTTTTCCTAAGTGTAAAATGGTGATAATAAGAGCACCTACCTCCCAGGGTTTTTGTGAGGTCAAATGAGATACTTATAAAGTACTTAACACAGTGCTAGCACATAATCACTTAATAAATGCTAGCTGTCATTAATATTACTATCCTTATTATAATATCTGTAAAATGCTTAGCACAGTGCCTGGCACATACTAGGCACTATATATATAAATGCTCATTCTCCTCTCACCAGAGTGGCTAATAGTGTGGTCATACTACTTGTTTTCATCAGTCAATAAACAAGCATTACTAGGTGTTTACTATTTACTAATCACTAAGCTAGGAATGCAGAGACAAAAATGAAATTGCCCTTGGCTGCAAGGAGCTGTCATTGTATTGGGGCAAACAACATGTAAACATAAAGATATATACAAGAAAATGAGGAGGGGGGACCTTGCGACTGGGAAATCAGGAAAGACTATATAGGAGTCTTGAGGTGGAAGTGAGAAAGGAGGGCATTCTAGGCACAGAGCACAGCCATGTATAAAAACATGGAGACAGGAGATGGAATGTTTCAAACAAGTAATGGCAAGTAGGCCAGTTTGAGTAGACAACAGAATATGTAAAAGGGGAGAACATAGAATAAGCCTGGAAAAGTAGAATTGAACCAGATGAAGAGGGTTTTTAAGTGCCAAGCAGAGGAATTTACATTTTATCCTGGAGGCAATGGGGAGCCAGTGAAACTTTTTGAACAGCAGAGTAGTTCAGTAGCCATAGCTATGTTCCTCCAGTCTTTTCCTGAGGCTTTCTTTTACTTTTCTCCATAATTCTGATGTTGTTAGCCTTTTTTATTTCATAGGCCCCCTTGACCCCTTTGGAATAGTCAGCAAAAAATAGGTATCCAGATAAAATTTTAAATCCATTATTAAGATATATTAACTTTAATAAAATAGTAACAAAACAATCCAATTTGGTTCTGTTGCCTCTTCTGAACTCTTGCTTATTTTTCTAGATTTTGTTGCTGTATTTATTGTTTTAGTCAGCATGTATATTGTGATTTTGCTTCCTTTAGTCTTTATTAATCTGTCTTATATTATAGTCTTCCTCCTTGTCAGTTCTAATGGCAGAAAAAATTCCGTTTGATTAATTTTTTTTTTTTGAGAGCTGTGATTTTGTTGATATAAGGACCTCTCCAGGAGGAAATTCCTTCTACCAATGAAGGTCAGTAGCTGCTCTGAAACTTATAGTCTTAGAATTGCTTGGAATTGCACAGCTATATTTGTCAGAAGTGGAAATGTGGGCCTAGGTCTTTCTGACTCAGAGGCCTGCTCCCTGTTTAGTAAACTTCACTGCTTGTAGGATGCTAGAATATTAAACATTGGATTTGTAGTCAGGAAGACCCGAGTTCAAATCCACCTCAGATCCTTAATAGGTGTAGGGCCCTAGGCAAAGTCATTTAATCTGTTTTAGCCTTCAGCTTCTTCATCTGTAAAATGGAGATAATAACAGTACTTATTTCACAAGGTTATTGTGGAGATCAAATGAGGTCATAGATGTAAAATGTTTTGTAAAGTGCTTTTGCATGTAGTAAGTGCTGTATAAATGTGAGCTGTTACTGCATTCATATGCCACAGTTTATTTAGCCTTTCCTCAATTATTTGATGCCTGAGTGATGTATGGTTTTTTGGTATTACAAGTAACATTGTTGTGAATATAATTTACCCCCTTAGCATGGTTTTCTCTAGGACTCTGTCCTAGGCCCTCTCCTCTGCCCATACTCTTGCTCAGACATCTTATTAGCTTCCATTGAGGTATTAGTGGTATCTGTGGTATTATGTCTATGATGAGAGTCAGGTATCACATCCACACATATGTCTTCAATCTTTACATTCCTGTGTAATCCATAATTTCTCACCTAAACTCTAGTCATGCATTGTCAAAAGCCTGAATCACAAAATAAAAGGATTTGAGAGTTGAAAGAGACCTCAGTGGTCCCATAGTCCAATTATACACAAAAGGAATCCCCAACATGACATACCTGATAAAAGTGGTTATCCAGACTTTGCTTAAAGACCTCATATTCAAAAGTACAAAATGAAGTCGTCCAAAACAAAATCCATTGTCTTCTAACTTAAAGCTACATATCCTCTAAACTATCCTTTTTTTTTGAGGGCTCCACTAGTATTTGGTTTATAACTTCAGAGTCATACATAATTACAGTAATAATGATAATAACTTTATCAGCTAGCATTTATATGGCACTTTAAGGTTTGCAAAGTGCTTTACAAATATCTCATTTAATCCTCACAATAACCCTGGGAGATACGTGCTTATTACTATCTTCTTTTTGGAAATGAAGAGACTAAGGAAGACAAAGGTAAAATGACTTGCCCATGGTCACGCAGCAAGGAAGTGTATGAGGTCAAATTTGAATTCAGGTCTTGCTTGTCTATGGCTTTTTTCACTGTGCCACCTAGCTGCCTCTATTTGACTGTTCCCTCGTACTTAATATCCAATCAATTGCCAGGTGAGGCAGTCAACATTTGTTACCACTTATTATGTGTCAGTCACTGTGCTAAGCACAGAGGATGCAAATATAAAAAGGGGGAAAAAAAAGCAGTCCCTCCCCTGAAGGAGCTTACAATCTAATGGGGAGATCAGCCCACAAAAAGAAGCTGAAAAGGCGAAGGGTAGGTAGAAGGGACTGGGATGGGGGATGCAGCAAGTTTTTCAGAGGAGTGCAGCCTTTCTTGGGAAATGGTGGGTTGACTGACCTTTTCAGAATGTTTTTTTTTTGCCTACCTGCATAATCAGAACACATGTTAAATTCACCCAGAAGTTTGTGAAAATAAAGATGTAATTTATTAAAAAATTTTCAAAGTTGATGGATCCCCTAATCTCTATATTCACAGAGCAAGTGGGCCATAAATTCTAGCTTAAGGACACCTGTTGTATAGGTTTACAGTCCAAGTCTGTATTATATTAGGAGGAGACAATTTTGAGAGATCATAGGAATTCTTCATCAGCTTGTTCTGTTTTGTTTTTCCTATGTGAGTGATATACCAAACTCTTGATTTGTAAATTGTTTAGGAGGCTTCATTGTGTTCCAGGTTTCGATGCAATGAGCACAGTGTCTGTCACCTGCCAAAAGGAGCTTCTTGAAAATGTTGCCATCTTTAGAGAAGCTCTTTTTCATTTCTCCTACTACAGTAACAAGCATGCTTCCATCAGTTTTATGACTTGATATTAATCACGAAGGTTATCAATCAAGGTTACCTTTATTGTTTTATCTTTAGAGTAATATTGTACAATTGATATGTGTGGGAAACACCTTATCAGAGAGCCTTTAAGGGAACATTTTGTTTTGCTAAATCACATATTTGTTTCTTTTTTATTTAATGTTAGTGAACAGTGAGATACATTCTCTACATATTTCTGTCAATTGTATGGTAGTAAAGTTTGGTCTTCTGTGGAATATTGCTTAGAAATTCAATCTATTCCCTTCTAATACTCATCAGGGATGTCTTTGATCTATATGTCCATTGTGAATTTATTTAGAAGGGAAAATAGATACTGTCGCTGGATCAGTAATTATTGATGTTCTCCTCGTTCCTGTTTTGATATTAATAATAAGGTTTAAGAGGGTTTTTTCCTACCCCTTTGTTTTCTTCACTTCTTTGAGATACCTTGAGAAATGATCTCTCAAAATTGTCTCCTCCTGATATCCACTATCTAGACCTAAGTACAGCTTCTGTTCACATCTTTTTTTTTAATGCCTTTTCCATTTCCTCCTCTTTAAATTAAGTCCAGATGTGGTGATTGCATTGCTATTGGTTGGGAAAAAAGCTTTTCATAAAATGTAGGTCTTCTACATGTTTTGTCTGTTAGCCTTCCAGTTTCATCCTTAAATGTCCTTGAGACTGTTTGATGTTTGTGTTTTCAGCCAAGGTTTTTCTTTTTCTTTGTTTCTCCTTCCATTACTTCTTATTGTTTTATGGGGTAATAAGCTGTTCGTGAACAAATATAAAACTGCTTAATCTTCTACCAGCCTTCTCTTTGAGACAGACCAGCTTACCTTCTAACTGATAGTTGCCCTTCACTGCCTTATCTTTCTATTTGGCAAGTCAAGTATCCACTACCTAAAGTGGTTTTTAGGCCCTTGAGGCATTATTGTTAGAGGCAGCTCCTATAGCATAAAGTTCCTGGGCGTAGTTCAAGTCCTGGCTCTGCCTCTTCTAATTATGTGATTTTAGGCAGGTCACATAACTTTTCTGGGCCTTAGTTTCTTTATCTATGAAATGAAAAGGTTGGACTCCTAAAGTTATTTCTAGCTCTACATCTATGATCTTATGAACTAATATAGCATTTTTGTAATTAATGTCAGTGGTCTTTCCTCCAGCCATTTCCCATTTTTTGGTATTAAGCCAAATTAGAGAGTTATTTTTAATTGCATTACCATACCTTTTTCTCATTTTTATTCTCATAGTTTTATATTTATTTTTATCTTGGCTCTCAGTAGTCTGACAACACACACAGATACCTGATTCAGAAATGACTTCCTGCATCAGTATGCATTTATTTCCTGTCTCTCAAAAATATATTGAATTTTTGGGATATTTGTTACTTGATCAAAATTCTTTAGTGATTCTCCAT